GCAGGATTAAAAATGAAGTTACGACGCGCCATAAAATGATACCCGACAGTCAATCTTTTTTCGTTTTAACACCAGCATCCAGTCTAGGTACCCGGGTAAGATAGGCCGCTGTTGCAGAGCCTCAGTTCTTCCACTTCGTTTGTCCTTCTGTCCGCTTTGGTTAGAAATTATAAATCAATAATACGTGCCAAAATTATATTCAATGTTTTTCAAATAATTTCTTAGTTTCTCCTCAAACATAGTGAAAAGCTGATGTTTACGAAACTAGTTTTAAACAGTAGCAAGATTTATACGCAAATCATATGAGCAAAAGAGTAAAACTACAAACTATTGAAAAGGCGCTCTTCATTTCTTAGAGAAAGGAAAACCATATCGACAATTAGAACATTGGCTAATTACTTGTGTGCTATCAGATCAGCTCGGTTTGTTGCAACAGTTATCTAATTATCAGATCAATGAATATCTTTGCGTCATCGCATGCTGAGATTACTGAGCACCATAATTGTCCTCTGTCATAAAAAAAATAAGAACCACCTTCGAGATAATGTGCTGAATAGCCAATCTACTCTGCTATTAATTTTAGCTTTTTGCTATGATGTAACCAGGCACAAATTTTATAATCGAACTTATTCTCAAGGCACATAGGGCTGTTCAAGTAATTAAGCTCTTTTTGACCCAATCCAGTCTGCAGAGAGCCAATGAAAACTGTTTGAGAAATATTAAGGCCTGTGGCAATTGCTTGACTGTATAACGTAGATTACGACATACAGCTGGCTCGCTTGATATATGGACACTGTGAATCCGCTACCAGAAAACATGCCTTCCACAAGACAGAAAAGGCTGCCTTCCAGTTCGTCGAAGTTGGAATTTGTTGAAAACAAGAAAGAAAAGTTTTTTGTTTTCCAACCGCCGTTTAGTGCGGTTCAGATAGATAGATAGATAGTCTGAGTACTACAAGTATCATCCTTATATGATTGCATCCAAACCTGGCGTAACTTCGTCCGAGGTTCGAAAGTTCTATCGTCCTTACGATTTCCGTCCAGAGGCTATGAAAAATACACTGATGCTCGTACTACTCTCTACAATGAGCTACAAACTGGCGTTTTAGCGGACGTGAACGAAAGCAAATTCAACCGGCGAGAAAAGAAGGCCATGTACGTCGCCAAACACATTTCAAAGGTTTCTTTCGGATGGAGCCCATATGAAATAAATTACTACTCTGGAGATTGGCTGCTGGGACCGAACATGTTCTGTTGGCAACCTGTGTACAATTTATTAAGGCGTCTTAAGTTTCTTTACCTCATTTTAAACCCCAAAGTTTCACCGACATACAACTGTTGAACGGTATTTTAGAATAACATAACAAATTAATTCGTCAATATAGCGATAACATAAAGGCGCTCCAAAAGTGAGTATGGTACGGTCTATGGAGCCATGCACTGTGGGAGTACGTGAATTTAAGAAGAATTTCCTCTCGATAGCCATCTCAAACGAAACAGGTAAACTATGATTATAATCCTGCATTATTATCATCAAAATGAAAATGGTAAGCGTAAGTTCATTTTACCGCGTCCTATCGGTCATTGGACACTTCAAATTTAGTGAAGTGGTTTCAAAAGGTTAGCCGCCCACTGTAAGGATCATAGGATTTAGGTGTTGACAGTATATTGAATTTATTGAGAAAAATCAATATTTCAAAGTCGGGACAGAAAATGATTTTTTGATGATAAGATTGAGGAGCCAAGCGACGACAGACCATTCTAACTGCCCCAGCTGACTCCAAAGACTATAACCCATTTTTGATACTCCATTACAGATTTCCTGTGCAGTAGAAACTGTACTTCAACTAACTTGCATTTCCACTGATCATATCGCTCTTCAAATTTCGGAAAAAAAGAAAAAAGAAAACATTGCTTGATGATGAATGACAAATGAGTGACTTTTAGAGCCGAAATAATTGCTTAATTTGGATTTTTCTGGCTTATAATGACCTCGATGGCTTTGAGAGGCAAACAAAAAAGGAAAAAAAAAACAACGAATAACAGACCTACTCTTTCGGTTACTGTAACAAAATTACTGCCTATCTCTGCTTAAAAAAAGATTTAAAGACATAAATGATCATCTATGTCGTACTTTGACACGGAAAAAAAAGCTCAAAAACAACTTCACAGTTCTTGAGAGAAGTAAACCTCGTGTAAAGATTTACTTACTGATTTATTCAATCATGTACTCTATTTTTGATACCTATTTTGCGGCGTGCCTGTTTGCAGATAATGTGATTATCTGATAATATTTCTTGTTAAAAAGATTTTAAAAAAACTGAACTAACGAGAATTTAAAGTAAATAACTTATTTAGATATAAAGAGAGATACTCTCGTTCTCCCTAACTTAGCTACCAGAGATAAAAAAAGGAAAAAAACCTAACTCGACAAAGTGTGATAATACACAGAAAATGATAACAACAACAGAAACAATGTGCTTGCCTATTTGCTAGGTGCACTAAAGACTCAAGTCGCAAAGATGATCCTTGGGGAAGAGTTTCTCGAGAAACTAGTCCCAGAAGCAAGACAAAAATGGACACAGTTGTATGGACAGACAGTGGCAGAATATCTGCGGCAATCTATCATAGAGAATCTTGGGAGACCTCTCTATAAGCTGATAAGGTAACAAGCCTGCAGCATGGCTTTGAATGAGAAGTGTATATATGGATTTGAAATGTCTATATCATTATGGCTCTATGAGGTGTATGTTTGAATGAAATTGCTTTGGTTTTACTATGTGTCGCTATGTTATTGGTCCAGAAAACTCGTGTCACTCTCTCAACCATCGGATACAAAACTAAAGTTGAAGTAATCACGACTTGGTCACCCGCATCTACCCGCGCAAGTGTCAATTTGGTTGGCTTTGTGTTCTTGGCTCTTCAAAATAATTCCTTTCTTCTGATTGGCCATTTTTTTATTTGCAAAAGCCCTTTCAGTTTCGGGATTTGGAGACTATTTCAATTTGTTGCTTTTCAGACATTTAGAGACAGAATACATTCGTCATTGCATTCCGAGCAACGTGGCAAGTGGATTATCCAGTCTCCCTCTTCCATATATGTACGTGGATGAGATAGCGAAGAGTGACCAGCCAACCACTCAGGAGTTACCCTCAAGGGACAGATTAAGCGGCGCACAGACTTATTTGAAACTTATATCAGTTTTCACAACGCTTGTTGTATCGCCGGAAAAACTGAAACATATCTCACAGGAAAAGTTGGACGAACTTTCGTCTCACGTGAGTGTCACATGAATTATCTTAAACCCAAGATATCAGAAGAGGGAAGGTACAGTAATGACGTATGAGCGTTAACTCTTTAACAAATTTCATGTCATCATACTGATTAAGTATGTACAATTTTGCAAGTGATATAGCCTGGAAGATAAAAATATTGACTCTAAGATCGAATTTAGTCCTCAGTCTTTGAACCAGCTTGGAATATGAAAGAATTGTTTGTTAAGTCTGTCAACTTCCACCTTGACAAAATGTATCATTGTATAGCTGTGCTGAAAAGCTCTAAAGAACTTTAAGGTTACATTCTTGATAAGAACAACGCATTTCCAATTCTGTCCGTATGTCAGTCCCTGTTCAATGATAATATGGTCTCTCGATGTTACACAGCTTGATCTTGCTAAATGAAAGACAACCGGTTTCAACTTGGTTACAGAACACCCTTGGTCGTCCGTTTGTATAATTCAATTAAGGCAAATCTTACTGAATCACGGGCCACGTTTTTCAACCCACATCCGTTTCCTGCGAAAGAGTTCGACGAGGCTGCATTTTTCCACTGTATTGATGAAAAGGCATCGCGGTTGTTTTGCCCCAACAGATGGAAGGTCATGCAAGCATAGATTGAAAGTACAACAAAGATAGACACGTGCATCTTCTTTCTCTCTGACTCGTTACTTACTTTTCTCAAATACGATTTTTAGTGAGAAGCATGCGATTACCAACATCAGCCGACTTTGTTTTCACTTGACAGGAAATGAAACAGATCAGGCCCAAGATGGCCCCGCTTTTTTACGGCATTGGACCAATGAAAACCATTCCTGACAGTGCAATTAAGGTAGTTCCGTGGTACCACTTGGAGGCAGTTTTTCACCAGTACGTCAAATCCAACAGTGCTAGCTGCCAGACTCCTTCTCTGCATATGCTGCCTTTCTTTATAGACAATTTTGGACCGAAGTACACTGAGTGGACCACAACTGTACACGAACAACTACCAGGGCATCACCTTGAGGTGACAACGACATAACCTTTAGTTAGCTCGTATATTTTCTCGTATTGTTCATTTTGACTAGATCCTGGCTGCACTGCACACCTTCCCGGACATAAACATCAACTACTATAATATGTCCCGGATAAACGCTGAACTCCTGTATAATAAGTACGCTTGGGGAAGTCGCACCACGGCCTCCAAGGATATCACGCGGTTTCAAAGCTCCCCAGGAGCCGTGACGAGTTACATGATTGGACAAATGACTTTCGTAAATGCGAGAAAACTCAAGCACAAATCACTCAGTGCCAGGTTTTCTATACCTGACTTTCATTACCACATCCTCCGGCAGGGTGAGATTCCACGTGAACATTTAATTAAGAACATACGTGATTTGTCCGGGTGATTAGTCTTTATTCATGATATACGTTCAATATTGTGAAATTCATTGTTTAATAATGTGACTAAACATTTTAAAGTTAATCTTTGGTGACATTACCATTTTTATGAAATATTTTTGACGCTTTCAGTTCCAGGCAACAATCTCTATGATTTTCTATTAACTAAATGACTTTTCCATAGACTATGAATGATGTAATAATAATTGAGATATTTAGTACTTCTGAGTGTAATAGAGTTTACCATTTGGAAACCATTGTTACTTTGTAAGAAAAGAAACTATTTTTAAGCTTGGTTTGGTTACCATGCAGGATGTGCTTGGCCACTCGTTGAAACTGGACGACATCTTAACCTAATTTTATTCCCCTCAGAGGACAGACGCAAAGTAAATTTCCACCAAAATAAACCTATTAATGAGTTTAATATGCCTTGAGTTTTCTTCTAATTATTAAAAAGAATTGATGCACACTCGCGGTGATAAAAATTCCACTTATTTGGCTAATTGAGTCATTTACTCTTTCATTAAACGTAACAGTTGTATGAAAAACTATACTGTAGCTACAGCAACATCTTTCGATAAAAATATAATGGTGAATTTATCAACGACAAGGCATTCGTTTGATGTAATTAGAGTCTCCGCAGTATATCGGCTCATCTAGAGTGTTAATATTAATTCAGCAAATGCATATATGCTCTAAAGCTTTGTCGGCTTGCTTAGATTCCATTACTTGTCTTTCTTAAAAATCATATCTATTGAAAATAGAAATGGTGCTAGAGCGAGAATGTCGAGATCAAAATCCCTTAAACATCATCCTTTTAATGTCGATCTATAAACTTGATCCTGACCGGTTTCTCTGGAACTGCTGACATCTTCTGATACATTTCCAGTGGCTCATGGTGATACTCTAACCGGAAGCGTTGAATAACCTACAGTTTGTGTGGCGAGGAATACTATCAGCGCACAACATGGCTTAGCCAATACGAAAAGAGTACATTGCCTCTACTATTGTTAACTTTAGTTTTTTTGTACAGAACCCCATTAATCATCTTGCACACGAGTTACCCCCCTGCATAGGCTGAAGTAAAATCGACTATATTTTGCGTAATTCAAGGAATGCTCAAGCAAAAGTTCATTCATGAGAGATTTCATAACAAACCGCAAAAGAAAAAAAGACTCTATACGTTTTTCCCGTTCAACATCATGCTAATACTTTTTCAAAACGTTGAAAGACTTTTCTGTTCATTCCGGAGTAAAGATTCCGTACACTTTCTGCCCACCTTCCGAGTGGGTTACGACAGACTTCTGGAACAAGTTACAAGAGAAATTCGCAGTGTGGGAAGGAATCAATCTCATCTCCTTTCTTTGGATCTTGTTGCCACACAAATACTAGCCTACCTTTGCAACCAGAAGATATGTTTCCAGCTCTGCCACTCTGCTGCCTGTAACAAAAACCGAAAAAAACCTCATGAAGACTTAAGTATATATATATATTTTTTTAAGCCGACAATCTATTCGGGACAATTTACTTTCATGGTACGTTTTCCTCCCAGTTGAGCAGTTTAACAATTCCATGATTTGTCACTAATATGACCAGGTAAGTATTGCACGTTTCCAAACTCGCCCCAACCCTTCCTCTCCCCTCGTAAACCTCATGACTATGGTGACCTGACTTTAATTCATAATGGAGGTCACAGTATCCGCACGTGGAAAAGTCTTCGATGCATACCCTTGGTTATTGCTTGGATGTAAACGACAAAACTAATCGACTGATGGCGAGAAAAACCAGTATTGGAGCAAAATGACACATTTCTAGAAATAAAAAAGTCATTTGACAACCGTTGCGAATTTAGAAAAACAAACCCATGTTGGGAGAGTACTAGTCCCCAAAAGTTTACTTTGAAGAGGGAACATCTTTACGCCCATTATCAGTAAGAACAACTCACCAATACACATGCGCGGACCAAAGCCAAATGGAAGGAATGCAAAGGGATCAATATTTTTCTTGTTTTCTCTCAACCAGCGTTCAGGTTTATATTCTAATGCATTCTTGAAGTATTTTTCGGAGGCTGCTGTAGCAAAGAATTCCATCTGAATTATGGTCTATGAAATCATGACGAACAAGAGTAGACAAGGGAATTAAGAAACAGACTGGTCTCTCTTTATGTCATCAACACTTCACAAAGACAGAGGAGGATCCTTCGCATTAGTGACGGAAATTATCGAAAATACCACTATAATATTCTGAAATGAAGCTACATGGACTTGTTTGGAAGACATCGTACCCCAAAGGACCCAGGTAAAGTCAAGGTTTAAGGACAGAACTCGCCTTATTTGACACTAAGAAAACTCTATAAGAGCCTTAGAATGAGGAAGTCTTAACATTTTGGCCAGTTTAGACGGCATTAAGGAGGTAAGATGAAACCAAAAAAGGGAAACATGATAAACGATGAAGAAGATAAACAACGATTGCATGTATAAACATTTTCAAATGAGCGGCCAAAAGTATCCGGGAATGCCTTGGTTTTGCTTTACTTCATTCTGATTCGTCAAGATAACTCGCGCCGCAATCTTAACCAATCAGGTGCAGAACTAAAACGCCAAATCGCGGCTTTGTCACTTGCGTTTTCATGCACTTCAAACAGCTTGCCAGTTTTCTATTTGAGTTCTCGTTGCTAATGATGATGTTCACCTTTTTTCTGACTAACAATTATAATAAAGTTGGTTTAATTTTTCAGCCATTTAGTTGTAAATTGCTCTAAACGATCCTCAAAATAACGAAGATGAAGGCAGGTTCCTCGGGTCTGAGGATCAGTGGGAAGGTGATCCCTGATGACAAGCCAATACTTGACCTGCATACTCTGCCACACTTTGGTATGGGATTCCGTGGACAAGGGGGCTTAGGGCTCAGCTCTTTTGCTGAGCGACCTGACGTGGAACGAAGTGACCGCACTTTAACCGTTTGATTTGGATGTACTGTAACGGAGACCAGGGCTCAAAGTTAACTTTTTAGTCCACTTGCAAAGTTTTGTAGGTAATTTTTTTTCCACCAGCAAAGTGGTGAGACCACTAGCAAATTCTTTCACTTTGAAATGTCAGTGACCATATCTGATATAAAGATTAGAATTGATATTTCGCACAGGCTATTAATGAGTTGAAAAGTTTAATAAAAAGGTATTAAATATTTGATCTCCTTTGTCGTTGTCCTAACAGCCACCACCTATCTACTTCATGTTTCGGAGACATGGATGATTCCAGCAAACAAACGTTTGCTAGTGAATATTTTTCTCACTCGCAGATTTACAAAATCACTCGCATTTTGCAAGTTTCGAGCCCTGGAGACAAGAAAATGATGATGACAAAATATACGAAAAGTGACAAAACCTGCATTGTTTAAACGAAAAAACATTAGTAGCACTTAATTCGTTCAGTTCAAGGATAGACGCAGACGGTAGTAAGTTAGGAGCAAACCTGTGCAGGAACCAAATATCCACTCAAAACTACATCTTTATCCAATATTCTTCTATTAGCCGGGAAGATTGGTGTCAACCTATCAAAGAAATGGCAGAGTTAAACGATACAATTGTAGATTGTTCATTGAAGATTGTATATATACAAGATAAAGTATTTTTCACACAATACTCTCTGATAAAATCCACCTTAAAACATGAACTTGCCTTGCAGATTCTTTCGCACAAGCCTTGAGATAAGACAATTTTGCGAGGCTTCCAGCCGTAACATCTCCATCTTTCCCCAGAATGCCAAATATTTCCTGGTAAAGGATTTCTTGAATTTCTGAATTTCTTGCAAGGTGGTACAATGCCCACAGAGTGGTGTAAGTTGTCTTAAAAGGGAAAAATAAGCCAGGGTGAGATAGAAAACCAAAAGAGCCTGAAAGATGTATCCAAATTTTGACAGGGGTGCTCCCTTTCCCCTATAACAAAGAGAGTACCCTTCATTTTTACCTGGTCATTTCGCTTTATCACTACCCTTATAAATGTCCAAACCGCTGCCAACAGAACAGACGAGGTTTAGGTACGGGGTTTCAGCATCTTTTTGGCGGGATTTAACAAACGATGGCCATCCATCTCTGTTTTCTACACCTCCGTGCCTGCCCTCTTTGCCCCATATTTAATATCTTGTCCAAAATGGGAATCATTTTTCTGTTAATTCATCTATTTTTAGTTCAAGCACTTTGCACGTAATTATAAAAGTGTGCTTGTTTCAAGCAGCTAATTTATGGGAATTACACTCGCTTGATGCGCGTGTAAGTGTGCAGTTCACTTTAACGGTTCGGTTGTTGAGTTGAAGATTTCTTGCATTGCTTACTTGATTTCCAGCTCACACTCACAGAGGTCAAAATAAAAGTCTGGTCACAGTTAATAGATTAATTGCTCACTCGTTCTAACAGAAGCATATCAGTTTTATGTTTCTGTTTGTAAAGATAGTATAGCATGGCTGTGATGATCATTTTCTGTTGAGTTTAGTGATTACCCTGGCATAGCTCAGCAGACCAAACTCTCTCCTCACCTGTCAAAAAACATCTTTCCTGGTTCATCTTTGGGTTTTGTCACTGGCCATAATGTAACTATTTACAGTGGTTGAAATCAGTTTGTCAAAACATGCAGAATGATAAACCAACTTACTGTGTCAACACCTCCTCCAAACATAGTAAGGGTGTTGGCATAAATTTCTTCTGGGGTCAAGTCCTCACGTGTCAGCAAGTAAGTTAATAATGAAACAGCTATGGACAAGTATATAACAAACAGTTTTTAGTTCATAACTCTGTGCACTTACACTGTTGGTCCTAAAACCAGAGAACTGATACATTTTTGTCAACCTAACCAAATACAATCAGCACTTATGAGTCATAGTAATTTTTTGGGGGAAGGGAACACTTGGAAAAACCCTTCTTTATCCCATGTTGTCATAGACATTGGTAATGCTGCTTTTGTGACTTGTAGGAATGGGTTGGGAAGGGATCTTCATTGTGGTGTGCTAAAAGCATTTCAAAACGCCACACCATTTCGCAGAATCTGATGATTTCATTCATAGAAGTCAGAGAGACAGTGTGGCTATGGCACTAGGCTTGCAATCTGTTGGTCCCAGGTTCAAGCCCTCTGCCCTTAACCACCAAATTTAATCTCCAGATTTTCTCTCCGTTTTCATTTCATTGCAAATAAAATGAAACAGGTATCACTCCTTAGACAGAACCTTGCCCAGTCACTTTAGCATAGACTAACACATAATGGCAATCCAGATTTTACCTTCAGATTCTTGAGAATCATCTGATCCTTTGTGAGCCATTTCTTCAAGATCTTTCATTTTCCTATCAATATATCCACGTCCAATTTCAAATGAAGTGTCCAATGCACGCTCAAGCTTGACAAAGTTTGGGGTATTCATGTATTGAAATAATTTTTTCTCCACAATTCCAAAAAAAAAGACATGGAGGCTTTGAAAAGCATCATGTATCGATCCAATGAACCTCAAGGCTTCCTCACTAGGTGGATCATTGTATAACCCAACTCTAGCGTCAAAAACCAATGTGCCCACACCTTAATTAAAACATATAAACCATAAAATAATGAAATTAGACAAAAAAAATAAGTTTAGAAAAATACAATCAACCTTGAATAGAAGACACGTATTTCTTAGGGAGTGAAATAAACTTGACTTGCCCCTCCCCCTGTTTTAGAGAAAAATGCCTATATTCTCTTTTGCAAGAGAGATTTGGCAGGCTGTATGAGATGCCAAGAGGTAAGCTCTGTGTGTTGAGAAACTTCCAGATAATCCAGGAAAGTGAGCATGCATGAAACCACCATCATAACTAGGTCAAAAGTATTAATTTTTCCTTAATTCTATGGTATTAACTTTTACTTCATTTGAAGTACTGAATTTTTTCACCTATAGCCCAGCAAATTTTCCAAGACCCTAAACTTGAGAGACCTTGCAATGGGCTTAAGTTTGTTTAAAAAAATCCAGAAAACTCTTGCGTATGAGCCAAGAAAGATAGCAACCTTTTGGAAGCATCCCTCACTGGAAACATGTGGTGTTTATTGACCAAATAAACCCAGCAAATCTAGATGCTTACTTTTCCTTGTTTGGATTCTAATTGAAGAGATGCCAATCTATAGAAATATGAAATCTATAAAAATGTTCAATTTTGGGTCTTACACATCCTTCCCTTAATTCTTTTCAGGACCTCTTTGTCCCAGTTTCTAATCCCACAAACTATAGTTAAAGAGAATCCAAAACATGAAAAAGAGCCTCCAATTGAAACAACAACTTCCTTAGAAATCAGTAACCCTGGAAAATTGTCTCTTAAGAGTCTACAGGAAGGTTTACTTTTTTCAGTAATTTTGATCACTTATGGTTTACTAGGCTGCCATAATAATAATATAGACCCTGAGAAACACCCTTCATTTTAGCTTTATGTACTTTTAACTAATTCTGCCAACCTTTCAAAATATCTGTTCATAAGTAAAATGGCCACCTTAATTTGTCATCATTATTATTTCAGACATGCAAACTTACTCTCTGTTGCCCATTTACTCAGTTCACCCTCCAAGTCGGGAATTTCTTCCCCCAATCCGCTAGTCTCTTTAAGTTTCACAAAGTGTTCCAGTGTGTCTTTTGTAACAGCATTAAAGTTGTCAATGTTTTCCTCCAATACTTTTGGACGCATCAGTTTTGGGGCTACTGCTTGTCTAACTCTTTGCCATTCCTTACCATTTCTGTGGGGTATTAATATTCAATTAAAGCACATCCTTGAGAGAACAAAGACATTTGCTTCATAAAAGGGAGATTCCAAGTTAACTCAGGAAAGTTAACAAATTAAATGTAAGGTTCCTTTGAGTACAATGATTGAGAAATCAAGGGTTTAAGAGAGCAAATGATCAATATGTTTAAAGATTTTTCTCTTTTTCACATGATCTTAGTCAACTTTGGACTGTATACCTATGTTTACTAAGGACCACTAGTGACTCACATGAAATTGAAATTATAAATCATAAATCTGAATTCAAATATAACACACTTGGTGAACAAGTTATATTCACTAGTCCATGTTGTGAATAGGCTCCATTGATGCAGGTTGTGTCTAATACATGTGTACCTCAAATAATTCTATGTTTTAAAACCACTCCATAATATATGGTCTGCAGTACATTTTATATCAGCCATGTTGAAGAGTCACTGGGAAACACAGTGCCCAGTAATACATGTTTGTTTCTAATATGTGTTCCCCTACACACACACTCTAGTGATACATGCGTTTCCCTTCAAAGATGGCAGCCAATCAAGATCTGTTTCTTCAACTGCCTTATTCCAATGAGCAGTTAATTGTTTCAAATTATATCAAACTGGAGCATTGCTTTTTCTCAGAGGCTTCCAGGAGGTCTTTTTTTTAAAAAATCTACCACAGTTCTAGAACTATATTTCTATGCTTAGCAGAAAGAAGAAATAAATTTTATTCTGGTTGTCATGCTCTTGCGATGGGAACACTTTTTACTTACCCTTGAGGCTTCAGTGATATGTGTAACCCCTAATTTCACACATACAATGTACTCCCAATTATAAATTATAGCTCCAGTTCAAATTTGACCAATACTACTAAATTAAATGCTAAGAATGGTGCAATGTAATGTGTATCTCCTTGTGTTTTGAAGAGCAGAGTGGTTAAATTGTGTGTCCATAAATCCATTTTATTTCTTGCACAGATCTCAGTTGCACATTGCAAATATTAGAGAGGTGAATTTGTGGGCTGAACTATCATCAAACAAGTTAGAAATTATTCTGAGCTGTTTAAATTGAAATTTTAAAGTTGTGCAAGGGTACTAAGGCTTCTTACTAAGGGTTCCCTCAAAATCTAGCAAGCTTGATATTTTTAAGTTTGGTTTTTTTCAGGACAAAGCTTGTTTTACTCAAAACAAAAAAAACTTCTTTATTTTCCACATTCAGTGCATCCTAGGTTTGGGAATAACTTATAAGAAGGGCCTTGAGACCTAAGGGCCTGTTTATATAGAGATAAGGTAAACTGCATAGGTGGGTTAACCTGTTGTCCCTATGAGTTGTTATTAATATATGATTTCTTTTTATCATGATCATGTTAACATGATAAGTGGGGTAACCAGCCTTAGCAGGTTACCTAGTCTACCATGGTTACAATTTGCTATGAAAGCATCTTAAGGTGTGGTAACCGCCTAGAACTGGGTTACATTCATGCACTGGAAACTTCACCTTGGAATTCTGGGGTTTTAAGATTGTATGTAAATATGGGCTATTTTTCAAACATGGCTAGGTAGCTTACCTCACCTACCTGGCCTTCTCCACCTTAAAAAAAAAAAAAAGCAAACTCTTCGCTCCAACACAACCCAAATTGTCAGCCACTTTGTCTATTTATTTGGAGCTTCCATGTTTTGTGTTTTCTACTCCCCACCAGGGAAACAGTTATTACTGGGAATAAGTACTTGAGGAAACACTTAGCACTGTGACAAAGTGAAATATTTTGAAACTTTCTAACGGCCAAGTGACCTACAGTTAAATGGACATGTAAGCTACGTGCTTGATCCTCCATCGCTATTGGTCTGTATTCTAGAGCTAAATCGTTTCCTTTCCAGTCCTCCTTTTCACTGACGACTCAAACTCAAAGGGTTTTCTCTTATCACAATTGCGGTTATTAGGCATTAGTCCAGTTTCGACTAATGACCAAGTTAATTAGTAATATGGCATTTGATTGAAAAATAAGTTAAAATGTACACGCAAAGCAATTTCAAACGCAGTAAACAGAAATATCAAACGATTTGCAGAACAAACGCTGGCTGAACTGAAATTTTCTAAAGGCTGACACATAATTAATGCCGACAAAATTATCCGAGCAAATAATTCACTGAATCCCAAATATCAACTGCATCAGTGGGACGAACAAGTTTACTCAAGGCTTATACACTTGCCTCAAAGTCTAGGGAATAATCGTAATTGGCCTTCTAATCTGAAGATCGAAAACTTTAACGAATACTAGTTAAGGTACTCACAGATTTTCGAGCCCAAGAAACATTCCCTTTCTTCTCCGAACTTCTAAGAGCGCATCAATTGGTGGCCTGTAAGGATATTTTCCTTCTGCACGAAACACGGTTTGAAAGTCGACTGGATCCATAACATGGACAACAGGACTCCTATCAGTGACAGACTGCTTAAATATTGGGCCATACTGGTTGAATAGCTTGTCGGTCAATTTATAAGTTTTGGTGAATCCTTCAGAAACGCGATAAAACTCTATCGCTGGTACATATTTCCCTTGAGGTCCAGGGATTTCATTGAACGGCAGAGGTTCGACTTCGGTTTCTGATGGAGAAATCTTTTCTGCTGCTTCAGCTCTCTGGAAGTGAACTTTCGCGAAAGATGAAATTGGATAAAAGC